GGACAGCGCCAGCAAAGCGCCACAGGCAGGCGCTAGCTGGATGCCCAAGACGTAGGCCTCAGTTCTGTCGTTGCGCACATCTGCTGTTTCACTGGCTTGCGCATCCCTGTTTGACTTGAGGCTTCATGGAAAAAGAAATGCCTGCGCTCACTCTTGTTGTCGAACGGCTTTCGGCAAATTCCGCCGCCGCTCCTGGATGTCGGGTCACGAAGTGCACAAATTGATAACATGTGGCGGTTTACTCATTGAATTTGGCTGTGGGGCTTTTCACATTGATTTTAAGTGTGGGGATTGACAATTTGAATGTGATTGTGAGGATTCTCGAATTGATTTCAGTTGTGGGGGGGTTACACATTTAATTTGATTGTGGGGTTTTTCAAACTGATTGTTTGTAAGTGTGGGGAATTGTAAGGGCTTGCCGTGGGGCCGCCGTGGGAGCTTACCAAGAAAACAAAGAAAAAGCACGACAACATGGGAAAACTAACACGTTTTCACATGGAAAAATAAGAAAAAGGAAAAAAAGAAAATGAGACTGACAGTGTTGTTTGTTCGCTCTACAATAAAAAATAGTGAGGGTTACAAGTTGTCCGTCGTGTTCCTCTCTTTTTGCATGTGAAAATACATGTGCTGGCTGTTGTTCAATGAATTCCCGTTGTCCTGGCAAGCTCACGCGGCTACACAGCCCTGCCGTTACAAGTCCCCCACAAGCAAAATCAAGTTGCAAACGGACTACATGTTGATTGCATGTGCGGTGGTATACACATTGAATTGGGTCGTGGGGCTTCCCAAGTTGATTTGCGTTGTGGGGGGGTTACAAGTTGAGTTGAGTGTGAGGCGTCTCGAATTGATTTCAGTTGTGGGGGGCTTACACATTGGATTTGATTTGGGGCTTTTCAAACTGATTTAAGCGTGGGGAATTGTAGGGGCTTGCCGTGGGGCCGTGGGAGCTTACAAGGAAAACAAAAAGAACACGAACATATGAAAGAACCTGCGTTTTCACATGGAAATACAAAAAAACAACTATGCAAAACCTGTGACTGTCAGGTTTTCCTGAAGATTGTCCTGTTATTATATGTGCAAACATGTCATGTGTGTTGCTGTGTTTCCTGCTTTTCCTATTGTCCTGGTAAACTGCTGCGGCCCCACAGCTCTGCCTTTGCACTTCCCCCACAATCAAAATCAATGTGTATTATAAGTTGGTTTCGTTTATGGGGGTTTAAACATTGAATTTGATTGTGGGGCTTTTCAAATTGACTGCAAGTGTGGAGATTAACGAATTAACTTTGATTGTGAGGCTTCTCCTATTGATTTGCATTGTGGGGATTTAGAAACTAAATTTGATTGTGGGGCTTTGCAAACTGATTTAAGTGTGGGGAATTGTAAAGGCTTGCAGCGCCGCCGTGGGAGTTACCAGGAAAACAAGAAAAGCAGGAAAAATGTGTATTCCTGTTTTTCCTGTTTTCCTGGTAAGCTTCCGCGGCCGCACGGCTCTGCCGTTGCAAATCCCCCATGATCAAAATCAACGCGCAAGTGGATTACAGTTTGATTCCATTTGTTGGGGGGTACGAGGTGAATATGGTCGTGGGGTTTTTCGACTTGATTTTAATCGCGGGGACTTGCCAGTTGATTTTGGTTGTGAGGTGTTTCAACATGATATCATGTGTGAAGTGCTGTACAGCGTGAGACCACGGGTTATCTTCAGGCGGCGTCTACATCTCTTGCGAGTAATACACGATTGGAGAGAGATATTTCTTTGTTTTCTGATTTTTGTCCACTAAATAAGAATACACTTGGTTGTAATCATGCAAACAAGCGGTCCTACGGGGGGGGGGCTCTCGGCGCCCTCCACCGGCCGGAGGCCGCAGGGGGAACCGCCTCCTCGGGAGGTTCCCAGGACCCCCTCGGGCAATGAAAAAATCAGGACGGGAAGCTCTTCCGTATCCTCCAACTCTGGACGCCCTTTCTCGCCCTCGGGACCGTGACGAGAACTCAGGGCGAAAAACCGGTCCAGGGGAATGGGTCAAGACCTCTGGGGGTCGGCGCTATGAAAAAAACATGACTTCGGGGGTCTGGGTTCGAGGAGGGGAGGGGAGAGGAGAGGGTCGGTGGTTCAAAGATGGGGTCCTGAAGGATGGAGGAGGTACATCAGACAACGCAAGTCCAGACCCGGATCCCTTCCTATCCTTAGGCCCCCATCCCTCAGACCCCATCTCTAAACCACCAAAAGAAGGGCACCAACACTTGGCGGCGCGCAGAGGGGGGCAGGGGGAGGGGGAAGGCTTCTTGGAAGCACACTGCTTCCCAGAAGGCGCCGGCCTCACACCCACAGGCAAGGCCCGCGCCTGCCTCCCTCCCCCGGCCCTTAGGTCGGGCAGTCCTCCTTCAGGCAGATTTTGGAAGAATCCGAATTAAACCATGTCAATAAAGTCCCAAACAATCACAAAAGGAAAACGACAAATCGTCACCAGATTATGTTTCACCATTCTTGAATAGTCCCCCT